ATGTATAAGGAACCTTTTTCATCTCATCTTTTTCTTCATCACTTGAAGGACACTACTTAGAACATAGTTTAAAGTGGCTTGCAAGTGAAGAACAAACAAGTTTGAAGTTGCTTATGTTGAATCTCTCAAGTACCTTTTGAACATATCTCTCCTGAGATAGCCAAAGTTTCCCCTTCTTCTTGTCACGTGTGATCTTCAAGCCAAGAATCTGTTTTACCGATCCTAAGTCTTTCATTGTAAAAGACTTGCTCAACTCTTCCTTCAACATCTGAATCTTCTTAGCATCATGGCCAACAATCAACATATCATCTACATACAATAAGAGAATAATAAAGTTTTCATCTGAAAACCTTTTCATAATACACAATGATCAGAAATGGTCCTGTCATAACCATGATCGACCATGAAAGAATCAAACTTCTTATACCATTGTCTTGGAGCTTGCTTTAACCCATATAAGCTCTTTTTCAACTTACAAACTAGCTGCTCTTTACCTTTTGCTTCAAAACCTTCAGGCTGCTCCATGTAGATCTCCTCATCCAAATCACCATGGAGAAAGGCAGTTTTCACATCAAGTTGTTCTACTTCAAGATTCAAACTAGCAGCTAAGCCAAGCACAACTCGGATTGAAGACATCTTGACCACTGGTGAAAAGATTTCTTCAAAATCAATACCTTTCTTCTGTCCGAAGCCTTTCACAACCAATCTTGCCTTGTACCTTGGCTGTGAGCAATGTTCATCAATTTTCAACCTGAACACCCATTTGTTCTTGAGTGCTCTCTTACCTTTAGGAAGCTTCACTAACTCAAAGGTATGGTTTTCATGCAAGGATTTCATCTCTTCTTGCATTGCTTTCAACCACTCACTTTTCTTCTCATGTGACATAGCTTCATCAAAGCATTCTGGCTCTCCCCCATCAGTGACCAACACATACTCATGAGGAGAATATCTGGTGGAAGGTTGGCGAGGTCTAGCTGACCTTCTCAATTGTGGCTCATCTGAAGCTTCCTGCATAACCTGTTCAGGAATAACATCAACATCATCATTAGTTGCTTCAGGATCACCAACTAATGGCTCAATAAGAGAACCACCACCATCATCATTTTGCAAGTCTCCCCCATGATTAGCAGGCATTAAAGGTAACTGTGGAGTAGGTCTTGGATTTGAATTAGTTGGAATAAAAACAATAGACTCTGTTTTCTCATCTTCAGAGCCCAAGAAAATGCACTGCTTTGTCTTGCTGTCAAGCTTAGACCTTTCATCTCTAGGAACATGAACAAATGTTATACATCCAAACACTCTCAAATGTGCCTAAAAAACATCCTTTCCTTTCCAAACTCTATCTGAAACATCAAATTCAAGAGGAACTAATAAAGAAAGGTTGATCATGGCAATTGCAGTCTTCATTATCTCACCCCAAAAGGACTTAAGCAGTTTTGCATGAGAGAGCATACATCTAATTCTTTTAACAATGGTTATGTTCATTCTCTCAGCCACTTCATTCTGCTGTGGAGTTTTAGGAACTGTCTTCTCCAACTTGATACCATGTTCCCTACAATACTTCTCAAAAGGACCCTTATATTCACCACCATTGTCAGCTCAAACACATTTGAGCTTTCTACCAGTTTCTCTTTCAACTCTGGCATGGAAATCCTTAAAGACATCAAGCACTTGATCTTTGAATTTCAAACAAGTGGCCCAAATTTTCTTAAAGTGATCATCAATAAAACTAACAAAGTACAATGCACCTCTAAGAGACTTATCAATCATAGAGAAAATATTAGTATGAACTAAATCAAAAACATGTGATCTTCTATGTGAAGGTGATCTTTGAAATGCAACTCTATATTGTTTGACAACTAAACAATGAGTACATATGTTCAAGTTCATACCTTTTAATGGAAGGTAGTTCTTCTTGGCAAGGATGCCAAGGCCTTTCTCACTCAAATGTCCAAGCCGCTTATGCCATAAATCAGTAGAGCAATCTTCAATTGCATTTCTTAGGGAATTTCTGGAGAGCTTCCATTTACCATCTCTAAAGTAATTGTGATAGCATTCTTCATTAAGAATACCTGTAGAGATCAAGTGTAGGCACATATTACGCACATGTCTAACATCTTTGAGTAGCAACTTGCACCCAGCATTGGTTTCCAACCAAATGTCTCTGATGCCCACAACACTAGCCATCCCTTGATTTCCCATCCTAACTTGACCAAAATCTCCAACAGTGTAGGATGTGTAAAAAGCACGTCGGGGTGTAACATGGTAAGAAGCTGTTAAATCTGCAACCCAGGTGGTATTTTGACATGCAAGATTAACACAACCATCATCACAAACAATGATAACATCACCATCAAATACAATTGCAGCTGTACCATTCTCTTCATTTTTGTCTTCATCTTGACCCTTTTTATCTCTTTTATACTTTTTGCAATCTTTTTGCATATGTCCAGGCTTGTCACGATAATAACACTTAAAACCCTTCCTTGATTGAGATCTTTCTTTTGGCTTTCATTTTCCTTTTCTATTATTGGATTCTCTATCTTGCTTGTCGTGAGAGAACCTGCTTGGACTTCTCCCTTGACTTTCTGTAACAAGTGCATGAGACTCAAAAGTGCTTATACTTTTCCTCCTCTTCTCTTCACCCATTTTCTAACATTAGCAATAGTCTTTTTATTTAGCCCATTTCATTTTGCATAATCCATATCATCAGGCTTTATTCCTTTATACACAATCGGCAAAGCCAAATCATTGCAATATAAGTGATCCTCCATCATTGTTTTCCATAGAAAA